TCAAGAAGCGCCTTTTAACTATGGTGAAATTCTAAATGACGTCGATTGTAAGATGAAATCTGATTTGCCTGATGGTGGCCGCTCGACAAATGGCCCAGATTTCCATATGTACAACTGCCCTTGGACATTTTAGATCAGAAATCGTCAAATTTACTTCGAAGTAATGACGTGTTTCAGAAATGACGACCAAAGAGTCAAGGTAATAATGTATGAAGGAAAAGGGATAGTAGACAACGTTTCAACAAACGGCGACGAGTTTTCAATACAAATGTCAAGTCATTTGGACGTGTAGGAGAAACGGCACTCCCACTAAAATGATTTACTTACAGTAAACCAACACATATTGCCCGTCATGCGCTGTACGGTTTTGGTTCATTCTTGGGCCTGTACAGTGTGCTTCAACATGTGGTGTTTTAACGGAACATTAAGGGAAATGGTTACGACATAGCATCATTTTAGGGTTTACCTTGGGGTAAAAGGGGGGTTAGTTGAGATAACGTTGTACAGTATATCGGGGTGAAAGGGGTTTGGGTCAGGTCTTTTGGGAAACACATGGGGGTGGCTTTTATAACTAAGACGCAACTGCTTGGTCAATTATTGTTATTGTGTCATGTGATCGAAGGAATACGACTTCTCTATCATCATGATATCTCAGCTCACCCAATGCAATTCATTAACCTGCAATATTACATCCCATGTGGTAGTCAGATAGCACTATTTTCAATACTATAATACTACAGGAGTACTACGTAACGTTAGTATGCAAAACACAAAAGCAATAGAGTTGTCGGAACACCACTTTTGAGGTAAGACATACCACTTTCCTGTAATAAATTATAAACCTCTATAAATTAGAAATCAAAACTTCCGAATCTCGGGAGCTGTTGAGATATTGTGTATTCAACACTAAATTGGACTGGGGAGGCGAATCGAATAGCCTAAACAAAGAGATTATGAATGTCTTAAGCCAATCACATCACTCCATTCCAGAGATTTTACCAGTCTCGTGCCCTGTCGCTTCGGATTGGGTAAAATCTGTCGGCGAAAACATGGAACATACATTCGAAATCGCTTTGAAGTTTCGACTGCGAAGTCCAAAGTTCAGTGAAAAGCACAATAGGAGGCTCCCTTGTAACGCAATTGTCGCACAATGTACGGCCCAAAATTGTGCTCAAACCAGTCTGGTCATGTGTTTGACAGTGACTTCTTTCACACACTCTACAGAACATGTACAGTACGTTAACCAGGTATATTTCGTCCAGAGCAGTCAGAAAACACAGTTATCAACAAATCGGTCAATTATTGTTATTGTGGCAGGTGATCGAAGGAATATGACTCTTCTCTATCATCATGATATCTCAGCTCACCCAATGCAATTCATTAACCGTATGACGGGCAATATGTGGACATTTATACTTGGTTTATTGTAAGTAAATCATTTTAGTGGGAGTGCCGTTTCTCCTACACGTCCAAATGACTTGACATTTGTATTGAAAACTCGTCGCCGTTTGTTGAAACGTTGTCTACTATCCCTTTTCCTTCATACATTATTACCTTGACTCTTTGGTCGTCATTTCTGAAACACGTCATTACTTCGAAGTAAATTTGACGATTTCTGATCTAAAATGTCCAAGGGCAGTTGTACATATGGAAATCTGGGCCATTTGTCGAGCGGCCACCATCAGGCAAATCAGATTTCATCTTACAATCGACGTCATTTAGAATTTCACCATAGTTAAAAGGCGCTTCTTGACCCTTACAAATGCCAGCTTCAAAAGCTACTACGGTAGTACTATAGTACTAGTACAGTACTACAGTACTTTAATGAGAAGAGTAGTTTGGATGACATAGGTTCTTGAAGTTGCATTATCAGCATTAATCAGACCCGATGGACAACCATATTATGCCGTCATAAATTCCGACTAACGTTACCGTCAGAACTGGTACTACAGTACACCACAGTACTGTACTACTAGAATACTAAAAGTAGTACATTGTATGAAGTATAGTGTGTACATTCCGGTAGTATGAACTGGAGACTTTATTTCGTGGCAAGTACTCTGAGTAGTGCAGTACAGTATGACTGGAGACTTTATTTCGTGGCACGTAGTACAGTAGTGTAGTAACCCTTGGTGTTCAAATTGTAGGAAAACGACACATGCCATCTGGATATCAGAGAAACGTATGCGCCAAGATACATGATCCCCTCGGATTCTTGACCTGCCCCAGGGTGCCGGCACCCTTGCCATTTTCAAACCCTCGAGCTTCGAGACACATGAAGATCTTCCGCTCCCTCTTGCTGGTTGGCGCTACCGCCGCCGCCTTCGACACGTACTCGGCCAAAATTCTCGTGGACACCAACACGTTCGAATGCGAACTCATCGATTCCGTGCACGTGGCCCAGCTCCACCGCAGCGTGGAGCACCCAGACTCGTTCATCGAGCTCACGACGAAGCGCAAAAGCCACCTCAACGACTTGGACCTGCTCCGGAACTCGGAGGAAGGCGCCCAAGAGTTCGTGGAAATCATCGGGGGCAGCGTCGACGCTGTTCTGGGCCAGCTCGCCAAGCGGTGCCCGTCCGGCGCACTGCGCCACAAAGCAGTGCGCTCTCTCGAGTCCATTGCCGAGACCACCGTGATCAAGAAGATCGTCGACTCGAGCCCCCCCAAGAACCGCATTGACATTGTGTTCATCAGGCGTCGGAAGCGGCGTTGTTCTTCAATGACATGCAACGACTGACCGACGAAATGTTTACCGGGGACACGTTCACCCAGTACCTCCCTCTCTTTAACGTATGGGCGGTACACGTGCCGTCGGTGGAATCGGGTATTGGCGTGGGCGGCAAACCTCGCAACACTGCCTTTGAACTGTTTCGCGACGGCACCGAGCTGCGCGCCGTGTACCCCAACAAGCAGCAATACGCCCGCGACGTGTGCAAAACGGTGGGGGAGTTCGCGTGCGACTTTCCGTCGTTGATCGGGAACGATGCGTTCTATGGGGGCCTCGGGGGGGAGTTCGTAATCGCGACGAGCTCGGTCACGTCGGGCATGGTGGTGCTGCGCCACGAGATGGGCCACAACTTTGGCAAAGTTGGCGAAGAGTACGACGGGGGATATGTGTACACCGGCGCCAACTCGGCCACGTCGATCAATGCGGCACCGTGGACGCATTGGTTGACTAACCCTGATGTGATCCGCGAGGAGAAGGCCGTCCAGCGGTTCCAAAAGCACATCTGGTACGATCTCCAGAAAGGCTCGTACCAGATCAAGTTCAAGTCGAACGGCGCGTTCAAGCGATGGTACATCCAGCTGTCCGTGTCCGGCGCCGACACGAACGATGCGCTTTCGATCACGTTGAACGGCGAGCCGCTGCCGTGGACCACCAAGGGCGTCAAGGACCGCTCGTTTTACTCGTGGCGCAGCTCGGACGCGGGGTTCTCTGCCGGCGACCACGTGCTCAACATCACCGCGGGCGGGTCGTTCGACAGCCCGATCATCAAGCAGCTATGTAACGCCGTGATCTATGAATACGCCGGTGAAGACGAGTTCAAGCTCGACGACAACGACCACATCGGGTTCTACCCCACGTGGGACATCAAGAAGCGCCTCTCGTACCGCCCCGACAACGAAAAGTGCCTCATGCGCAACATGACGTCGCCCCAGTTTTGCGCGCCGTGCCAGGAAAACATGTGGCTGCAGTTCCTGACGCGCATTTCCTTATCGAAGACGTCGTTGTGACTGGTAAGGACGTCGCGCTCAAGCTCATCCCGCTGGG